ACAAGCGACCACCCAGCCCGAGGGCCTTATTCATGGTGGGTTTTGGTCTTCACACTTGCCCACCCCGAGGAATGTACTAAACAGGAGGTCTTCGACCAACCTGCCCACCCCAAGGAATGTTTTAAACAAGCGACCACCCAGCCCGGGGGCCTTATTCATGGTGGGTTTTGGTCTTCACACTTGCCCACCCCGAGGAATGTTCTAAACATGAGGTTTTTCGACCAACCTGCCCACCCCAAGGAATGTTCTAAACAAGCGACCACCAAGTCAGACTGTACCACATATATCTTGCCACCCAAATTATGCCAACATTCCAAGCATAAGAAAATGTGCGATAAAACGGGTAAAATAGGAAAAATCACTGAATTTCATTGACTTTTAACAAACTTTGCAATCTACATCATTGTTCGAGCTCCCAGGCTTCTTAAAAAAACAAAAAATTTCAGACATAATATTTTTTCAGATTAGCTATGTTCCATGACCTGGCAAGTGATCGGCCTTCGGCATCCTTGAGTGAGTACGCTCCTCCTGCGTGCACTCGCTCGACCAGGTATGGCCCTTCCCAATTTGGCTCCAGCTTTCCCACATGTTTGAGTACATCGACACACTTCCAGACCAAGTCACCGACCTGGAGTCTACGAATTTTCACCTTTTTGTCATGAGCGGCTCGCATCCTCTGCTTGTACGCCTCCACCCTGATTGCTGCTCTCTCACGCAGCTCCTCGATAGTATCTAAGGCCACCATCATCAGATCCTCATTCTGTTCAGCATTATACGTGCTCGACCTATGGGAAGATAACTCGATCTCGACCGGCAGCAATTCTTCCATTCCATAAGCTAAACTGAACAGGGTTTCTCCTGTGGTCGACCTTGGAGTTGTGCGATACGCCCAAAGTACGGAACTCAGCTCATCGGCCCATGCTCCCGAGGCCTTCTCCAACTTTGTCTTCAGCCCATTCAGTATAATTCGATTGGTTACCTCGACCTGGCCGTTAGCTTGCGGATGTGCCACAGAGGCAAAGTGTTGCTCGATTTTCATATTTTCACACCATGCTCGAATCCGCTTCCCATTGAACTGGGTGCCGTTATCGGAAATCAACACTTTGGGTACACCAAACCGGCAGCAAATGTTATTGTATATGAATTTAATTACTTTCTCCTCTGTAATCTTCGCTAAGGGCTCGGCCTCCACCCATTTCGTGAAATAATCGACTGCCACTATTAAGAACTTCCTTTGCCCGGTCCCCTGAGGCATCGGCCCTACCAGGTCGATACCCCACTGGGCGAATGGTATAGGAGCACTCATCGTTGTCATGGCTTTGGCCGGTTGGTGGATAAGGGGGCCGTGCTTTTGGCATTGCAAGAACTTCTTCACCATCGTCTTCGCATCTTCTCTCATCGTTGGCCAAAAATATCCTGCCCTCAAAATTTTCGCGACCAAGGCCCCTGACTTACTATGGTCACTGCAACACTTTTCGTGCATCTCTCTTAGCACATATCGACCTTCTTCCTTAGTAACACAACGCAAATGTGGTCCTCCATATGATCGTTTGTAAAGAATGCCTCCATGCTCAAAAAACCTCCTAACCACCTTTATCGCTCCTCCCCTCAGCTCCTCCAAGATCGGGGCCCTCCAATCCTCCACCTCTTCGATCTCTGCCACTTCTGCTTCGATCACACTCTTTTCAAGATGCAACAGAGTGACACTTCTACTCTTGCAATCAACCAAGCTCTGAGCAATCTTTGACAATAGGTCTGCTCGACCATTCTCTCATCGAGGAATTTGTATTAGTTCGAACGAATCAAACTCCTCTCTCAGCTTCTTCATCTCATCCACATATTTCTACATCCGATCCTCCTTGACTTCAAACCCTTCTTGAAACTGCCCAACCACTAGTTGAGAATCGGAATGCACTTGCAATTTTCGAGCTCCTCCTGCTTTGGCTAGACTCAAGCCCTTAATCACTGCCTCGTACTCAGCTTCGTTATTGGATATCTTGAACCCCACTTTAGCCGCAAACTCCAAGTAATCGCCTTTGGGAGAGACAAGGACAATTCCCAATCCTGCCCCGCTTCGTGCCACAGATCCATCCACAAACAACTGCCATAATCCCTCTGACTCCTCCTCGACTTTCGTGCCCTCCTGGATAAAATCAGCCAACACCTGTGCCTTTATGGCCCTCCTTGGCTCGTACATCAAAAAATACTCACTCAATTCGACCGCCCACTTCACCAATCGACCAAAGACTGATGGTCGACCAAGTGTTTCTCCTAGCGGCATATTCGTTCGCACCTTCACCTTATGATTCAAGAAATAAGGTCTTAACTTTCGAGCAGTTACAACCACAGCTAAAGCACACTTCTCAATTTTCGAATACCTCGTCTCGGCCCCCTGCATCACTCTACTCACATAGTAGATAGGAAATTGCGCCATTCCTTCCTCCCGTAACAACACCGAACTCACAGCCCTCTCCCCAATAGAAATGTATAGCATCAGCTCTTCGCCCTGCATGGGTTTAGCCAATAATGGGAGGTTGGCCAGTACCCCTCGCAACTCCTCGAATGCCTTCTGTGCCTCCTCCGTCCATTGGAATTTCGCACTCTTCTTCAACATTTTGAATAATGGGCCGCTCTTCTCCGCCACCTACGATATGAAACGACTCAGCCCCACAATTCGACCAGCTAAGATTTGCACCTCTTTAACATTCGTCGGCGACTTCATCTCCATCACAGCTCGAACCTTCTCCGAATTGACTTCAATACCTCTCTTAATCACCAGGTAACCCAAGAATTTTTCTGACCTCACCCCAAAAGAGCATTTAGCAGGATTCAGCTTCATCCCATACCTCCGTAATGTTAGGAACGTTTCTTTTAAATCTCGCACGTGGTCCAACTCCTCCTTACTCTTCACCAACATATCATCCACATACACCTCCATGTTCCTCCCCAGTTGTTCCTTAAAGATTTTATCGACCAACCTTTGATACGTGGCGCTCGCGTTCTTTAGGCCGAACGACATGACCACGTAATAGTAGGTCCCTCGACTCGTTACGAAACTCACCCGCTTCCTGTCCTCTCTCGCCAAGGGAATTTGATGGTATCCCTGGGAGGCATCCATCAGGCTCAACAGCTTGCACCCTGCCGTTGAGTCGACCAGCTGGTCAATTCTGGGCAGCGGATATAAGTCCTTCGGGCATGCTTTGTTCAGATTGCGAAAATCAATGCACATCCTCTACTTCCCTTCCGCCTTCGACACCATCACCGTGTTCGACAGCCATTCGGGGAACTGAATCTCTTTAATATGTCGTGCTCCCAACAGTTTCTCGACCTCCTGCTCGATGATCTTGTCCATCTCTGCCCCATGGTGCCTTCTTTTCTGCTTCACCGGCCTCACGCTGAGATCGATGTTTAGCTGATGCTCGATCACCTCCGCACTTATTCCCGTTAAATCCTCTGCTGTATAGGCAAAAATATCAGCGAACTCCCTAACTAACTGGATCAGCCTCGACCGAATAGGCTCTTCCAGATCCTTTCCGACCCTGAACTTTCTCCCTTCACACCCCTCGATCATTTGAATCTCCTCAACTTCTTCCCCAGGTTGGATATCCATTTTCTCCTTACCTTTCTCCACTTTCTGCTTATCCTCCTTCGACCTTGATCCCCCTGGTCGATTAATCTCCTCCCCCTTCGACTCGGCCTGCCTCTTCGCCAATTGCTTGTTATTGCTGACTGTTGTTTGGTAGCAACTTCTCGAAGTGAGCTGATCCCCGACAATCTCCCCTACGTTTTCGCCCACCGGATATTTGATCGTCATGTGGTACGTGGATACGACCGCCTGGAATGCGTTCAAGCTCGTCTGCCCCATGATGATGTTATAGGACGACTCAGCCCCTACAACCACAAATCTCACCATGCGCACCTTCCTCAACTCTCCTGATCCCAATGCCACGGGCAAACTGACCTCTCCCATCGACATAACTTCTCCCCCATTACAGCCGTAAAGTGCCGTGGTCACTGGTTTCAGCTCCATATTCAGCTCCTTGTTAATCTGCATAAAACAGTCATAGAATATCACATCTACCAAACTCCCGGTGTCAATGAATACCCTCTTCACATCGAAGCCTGCAACCTCCGCGGTTATCACCAAAGAATCATTGTGCGGCAGGACCACCCCCTCAGCATCCTCCGCCTTAAAACTTATCACTGGCATACGGGTCGTAATCCCCACCTCCTCTCTCTTCCTCTTCACCGCTCGAGCGTGCTCCTTCCTGGCCCTATTTGAGTCACCGTCCATTGGCCCACCAGAAATCATGTAAATCGTTCCTCTCTTCATTGGGGCCTCTCCTCCATGCCCTCCCTTATCACCATCTCTCCTGGGCTTCTTTCCTCGACCGTCTCGACCATCTCCCTCCTCATCTCTATCACTCCTCTCCTCCGATTCTTCTCTACACCGTCTCCTTCCTTTCCCTTTCACCCTGTCATGATACACAAATTCTTTCAAATATCCCGCTCGAATCAGCCTCTCGATCTCATCTTTCAAATGTCTGCAATTCTCTGTGGTGTGGCCATAATATCGGTGAAAGCGACAGTAAATATCCGACCTAGGTCGAATTGGGCCCGTAAACCTCGTCTTCGGCCAAGTCACATCCTCACTCGACATCTTCTGTTCCATGGCCTCGAGGACCTCCGTCATGTCTTTCCTCAAGGGCGTGAAAGTGTGGTATCTCTGTCTCTCGAACAACATCGGCCTCCTCTGCCACTCATCCCTCTTCTCCCTCTTCGAATCTCGACTCTCTCTTCGGGGTGATGCCCTCTTCTGTCCACTCCGTTTGGGCGAATTCCTCCTCGGCGATCTCCCCCTCTGCGGACTTTTTTCCTTTTTCGGCTCTGGTCGAGCCACTCCTTCCAACTTTGCAAACTCCATCTCCATCTCCTCCAAGTTAATATACTTCCTGCACCGCTTCAGCACATCCTCATATGATCGAGCAGGGGTTTTTGCTAGGGAAGTTCGACAAGGCCTTGCTCGAAGACTCCTTATCAATCCACCCGCCTTCACCTCGTCCGAAGCCGAGTGCACCTCTAAACAGGTTTGGTTATATCGGGCAACGTACTTCCTTAATGATTCCTTCTCCCCCTGCCTCATCGCCATCAAAGTTAGATACGTCTTCTCCTGCACCACCGCGCTCGAATATTGATTGATAAGCTTGCCAGTAAAATCCTCAAAGCTCGCGATCGACCCAGGTGGAAGTTGATGAAACCAATCGAGTGCTCCCCCACGTAGGGTCGATAAAAATGCCCTGCAACAAACAGAATCAGAGTACCCATGCAACACAGCCATATTTTCAAAGGTCCTCACATGCCTCGATAGGTCAGATGACCCGTCATACACCAAGTTGGTCTCCTTGAAATTGTTTGGCAAAGGAGCAGCGAGAATCTCCCTTGAAAAGGGATGTCCTCGAGCTCTCCTTGCTGGCCTCCCCTCTACCTTATCTTGCAGCTGACGCAACTGCTCCGCCATCCTCTCCATTGCCCGATTTCTTCCAGCTCCTCCTTCTCCATAACTGGACACATCCTCATCCTGGCTCCCGGCCACCGTGGTCGGCGCAGTGGTGGCATGAGATGTATGGCTCGCAACTTGCTGCACCGCCTGCGCTGCCGCGGCCGCCACTATTCTCTGCATCTCCTCTCGGGTCATCGCCACCATTTGTTGGCCGGGGGCTTGTATGGCTACCTGTGGTGGCACTCCTCCTTGCGCCAGCACTCCTCCTTGCCCTTGTGTTAGATCTGGTGGTGGTGGTGGTGGCATCGCTGCTGCTGCTGCTACACGAGCCTCCTGGGCCTGACTGGAGCTGGCGTCTCCTCCGGGAATCGCCGTCGTCACTCCTACACCTTGAAGATTAGGTGCGGGAGTGATCAGAGTCTGCGATGGGCCGGAAAAACCCGGAGGAGGGCCGTGACCCAATGGCCTGGTCGTCGTCCAAGCTTCGTCGAACGTCGACTGCAAGTTCTTAGGAATTCCGTCCGCCATAGCTGAGCTTTAAACACAACTTTTTGAACAAAGAATCCCCATAGACGGCGCCAATAATGCAAGTGTAAGCATCCTGGTCCGGTTTGAACGGATAGATCTTGGTCCTCGCTGGTAGAACGCCGGAAACCTGCAAACAACTCTCACACCGGGGGTTGTGTCCGGTGAAGAGCCTCCGATTCTTAAGTCAGTATGTGTATGAGTATATTGAAGTGAAGTATGGAAAATAGAATGTCTTAAGGGAGAAAGGCTCACCCCCTTTATATAAGGGTGAAATACCTGCCCTAAGAGCTGCCCGGATAAGGATGAGCTGGCTGCCCAAGCTGCCCGTCCGTACTCTGGCACGCCGCGCACATGTCAGAGGTGGCGCGAGGCGTTGGGAGCTGTCATAGGTGGTTATCGCTATCACCCAATACATTGGCGACACGTGTCCCCCCTGCACATGGGGTAAATATTCTCCTGGGACTTAGTTGGAGGCTCTCACGCGCGCCCGTGATACACGCGCCCATGACTAGGCCGACTGTTAGTTCCTCGAAGCGATCGACCTGTTGAGGTCGAATAGGTTACTTGATCATGTATCTAGTCGAGCGATGGGTTGCTCGATCATTAGTTTGGTCGTGCAGTGGACTGCTCGATCGTTAGCCTGGTCGTGCGGCGGACTGCTCGATCGTTAGTCTGGTCGTGTGGTGGACTGCTCGATCGTTAGTCTGGTTGTGTGGTGGACTGCTCGATCGTTAGTCTAGTCATGTGGTGGACTGCTCGATCGTTAGTCTGGTCGTTTCCCTAAATGTTCGATCTTCCCGCCTTTTGGCTTGGCTCCCTCTCGGTTTAACCTTCTCGACCGGCCCAGCAGACCGGTTTAGCTTTGTGTATATAATATCCCATATCATATTAGAACAACAATTACAAAATATAAATTTATATTAATATCTAAATATATTTATATTAATATTTAAATATATTTTTCATTGCAGCAGATTTTGAGAATGAACGATTTTATATGAGATATATACAAATATTTTTTTTTGAGATATACACCAATTCCTTTTATTGGTATTCTTTTTGTCAATTGTTTTTAAAAGGAAAATTTTTAAAATTTTGTATAGTAAATCGATTTTTTGTTTTTGTATACACAATATATAAATTTATTGCAAAATCTATATATATATATATATATATATATATATATATATATATATATACTATCTAAAAAGTTGTCACACATATAATATAAACCTATTCAATTAAAAATTGTTCAGTTTGAACATATATAACAAGTTATCACACATTCAATTAAATTTGTTCGGCTTGAAAAAATTAGCCCGAAGTAATGTCTAATCACTAATGTTTTATATTTTATATCTACTATATATAATATCTCTCATAAAATTAGTGTGATGTAATATTAAAGTTTTGTATTATTCTTACATATTTTTGTATTATATCTACTATATAGAAATATTAGTGAATATTATATAGCTAATCAAGTATAATCGATATTAAACTAACAACTCATTGTCTGACTGCCTAAGTAAATTATCATACTATAAAAAGATCCAAGGATTTCATTTACGTTCTAGAGCACCAGTTACTTCTAATCTTAGGGTTTCATTTAGGATCAGGGTCAGTCTTTATGTCCGTTGATATATTATTAAAGAAATTGGTTCTTAGCAACGACTGACTATATGTTGTTGTTTTTACGTGTAAGTAATAGATAAGGGATGTGCATTGGCATATTCTTAAAAAAATCTTTTTTTGATCACGACCAATTGTATGTTGTTACGCGTGTAAGTAATAGGTCAAGAAGAGTCAAGGTCAACATTTATTGTACGTTGACATGTTAAATAATAGATCAAGAAGAGTCAAGGTCAACATTTATTGTACGTTGGCATGTTTTAAAAGAAATCGATGTTTAGTCACGGACAGTTATGTTATTTGTTTCGCGTGTAAATAATAGAAAAGTGTTGAAAATATTAGTTTGTGGGGACGACGAGTTTCTCAGTTATTGAACAAATAATATTGTGTACAAGAAAGTTTAAATAATATATTTTTTTTTTCATGAGGAACATTTTATGGTTTGATAATTTTCCTACGGATTATCACTCTTTTATTTATTAATACATTTTATTTTTTAATATTCTACAAAGTAAATACAGCTCGTGCATCGTACGAGTTACATACTAGTAGTAGAAGAGCAAAAAAGAGTATTAAAGAGACCATGACCAAAATTTTGATTTGAATGGACAAATTAACAAACACTATACAAGTACTTCACGATTTCAAAGTTCAAAGTCACATTAATTAGCACTAAGCAGGCCAAAGTTGCAGACAATAATGAGATTATTAAACTCAAAATTCACAACACAAAAGAACTCACAAATTCAGTCAAATCGAAGCCAAATTGAAGCAAAGGTCAAGCCAAATCATCAGGAATGAGGTCGTCGAGCGTCGTCCGAAAGGGAAAATTAGCGATGCAGTCGAGATACATCAGAAATCCGCCGGTGAACCCATTGATCTTGTGCTAGTTGCCGGTGCTTGAGAGTAGCTTGGTCCATGAATTATGAATGTCCGATGATGGCGCATGGTGAAGGCGGCGAACGAGCAGAGGCCGATTTAGGATTTTGAGCGTGTCTTTCGGCATGAAGGCGAAGATATATATGAAAAGAGATAGAGTCATAGTCTGAAAAGGTGAAGGCGACGCATATTTAGAATTTCATTTTCTTTTTTAATTGGCAGGCCAGCCCTCGGTCTAAACCCCTCCCCCGCAACCCCGCCTTAGCTGGCGCCCTACGCGGGCCAGCCCGTTTAGGCCCGCTCCTCAGCGGGCCTAGAAAATCTCGGCCCAACCAGGCCCTTTTGTGGGGCGGGGCGACCACGTGCCAAATTGACAGCTCTACTTAGAGGTGGCTAGTGTCGACCCGACCCGAACTAAACGTAAGAGTCCGAGGACCGGACCCTTACCGCCAAGGGGGTCGAACCCGACCCGCAAGGATCGACAACAGTTGTCTTTTGCACTCGACAGTTGGATCAAGCCGACCATTGCAATCCAACGGCCATCAC